AGGAAGGAAGACTGGAATAAAAAGAACCAGATACAAGGGGTGAGGAGGACATGAAGACCAGAAAGCAGCCAAAGAATCTTCAAGAGAAGACATATCCTGGTGTCGAGTGGTGCTCACCTCAGCCAGGAAATACCCACTTCCAAATAGTGAAAGAACAGGATCTAGGAGACTGTTTTATGAACTTTGTAGTTGTATTTAATATTGGTCATTGCTGCAAAGGAAAGCTTTGCTTTGGCCACCATCTAATGATAGAAACTAGAGAAGCTAGGAAATGTCTATTTTTGTTGTAAACCTTGTTTTTTCCTTTGTTTTTGCTTTTCTCTGCTCACATTGAAGCTGTAGGTAGTGCCAGCATTAAAATCAATATGGATTTTATGTTTCCCTTTTCTCCTTCCTTAGTAGTAGGGAAGAGACATGTTTGTAAGTGAAACAACCCATGTAAACCATAACAACCCCAGGCTGAGTTCATACACTGAAATTTTAAAAGTGGGAGATTCAGGATGAAGAAAAGGAAGTATAGTCAGCCCTCAACTTTTGCAAGGGTTAGGGCCACAGGAACACCCCCCCCGAAAGTGGAAAAAAGCATGGATATTTCTAGGCCTCTTCAACTGTATTTAACACACACACACACACAGATACACACACTTCTTACATCTGTACTGGCGGAGTGGCTGGGCCTGTCAGTGGATGCATTCCCTCACTTGCTCAATCACTTTGACAGGGGGATAAGAGGATTATAGAATAACAGAGTTGGAAGAGACCCCAGGGGCCATCCAGTCCGACCCCTGCCATGCAGGAACACAGAATCAAAGCACTCCGACAGATGGCCACCCAGCCTCTGTTTAAAAACCTCCAAAGAAGGAGACTCCACCATGCTCTGAGGGAGTGTATCCCACTGTCAAGCAGCTCTTACTGTCAGGAAGTTCTTCCTAATGTTGAGTTGGGAATCTCTTTTCCACTAGTTTGAATCCATTGCTCCAAGTCCTATTCTCTGGAGCAGCAGAGAACAAGCTTGCTCCATCCTCAATATGATATCTTTTCAAATATTTCAACAGGGCTATCATATCACCTCTTAGGACGTTATCACACGTGGGCCAGAAAGTGATAATAAAGTGGAAATGAGGCATTCTGAAAATAAACCGAAATTAAACCTTGATTCCGCAAATGGCTTTCGCACGTAATTACCTTAATTGCGAAATTACAGTAAGCGCATTTAACGTTCACACACAAGTGAGAAAAGCCCGTAAATGTACTAGAAATGAGCTTCTTGCACATGCGCAGATAGAGGAATGCTCGCTGGAACAATGGGAAAAGCAAGGAAATGCTCCCAAATGCGCATTTGCTTTTCACATTATGGTAAATGCAAAATTACCTTAATTTCACATTTGCATTTCCTCCAAACAACTGAATTTTAAAAGATCTCAGTTAACACCAGTTTCTGTCCACTTTCTGTCCAGTTTCGGTGCGACGTCGTGTGAAAACGCGAGGCACAAATCCAGTTTTTGTTTGGGATTTGTGTGAATTAACCAGCAGATTTGCCTCGTGTGATAACTTCCTATGACATCCTTTCAAATACTTATAGAGGGCTATCATATCACCTCCTTACTATCTCTCCTCCAGTCTAAACATACCCAGCTCTTAAGTGTCTCCTCATAAAGCAAGGTTTTCATAACTTTCAGCATTTTGGTCACCTTCCTCTGGACACACTCCAGTTTGTCCACATTCTTTTTGAATTGTGGTGCCCAGAACTGGACACAGGATGGGACAAAGGAGTGGGATAACAAAGAATGGGGACACCCATCCCATCCCCTTCTCTTCTGCCTGTCTCTCTGTGTGAATGAGTGAGTGAGGGAATACACATGTTCTCCCTCCTTGTGCTCCTCTATCCCATCCCCTTTTCCCACAAGTGAGTGAGCAAGGGAGGAAGGAAATGTGCGTGCATTCCCTCCTCATGCATCTCCATCCCATGCCCTCTTATTCAGAATCCCCACACAAGTGAACAAGGGAATATCCACACCCTCCTCCTTGTGCTCCCCCACCCCATCTCTTTCCCCTGCCTGCCTGTCTGAGTGAGTGAGTAAGGCAGGGGTAGGCAACCTTTCCCCTTTAAGGGCCGAGGGACTTCAGCTCCCAGAATCCCAGGAGCTATTGGCCAACATGGGACTATTGGCCAACATGGCTGAGGCTTCTGGGAGCTGAAGTCCCTCGGCCCTTAAAGGGGAAAGGTTACCTACCCCTGGAGTAAGGGAATGTATGCGCCCTTCCTCCTCACACTCTCCCATCCTTTCCCTTTCCCTTGCCCATGCAACTGAGCAAACCAGTGAGGAAACTCGTGAAGCCAGGGCCAGCTTGCCTGCCAATCTGATTTCCTCTCAACTACACTGGTGTTATCGAAGTCCCTGTTAAAAGTGGCATAAGATTGCAGAGGAAGTAGTGGTAAATACAATAATCTGTGAATAATCAAATCCATAATGCTTAATCTGCAAATACGGAGGAATGACTGTACTAGCTCAGGTTATAAATTTACTACAAAATGTGGTGATGGTACTGAACTTTCTTAAAGTTGTTATTTGTCATCAAATCCTTGTCAACTGATAGTGACCCTATGAATGTGAGATTTCCAAAACCCCTGTCATGTAAAGCCCAGCCCAGGTCTTTTAAGCTCAAGACCATGGCTTACTTCAGACCTGCACAACTTAGCAGTAGGTATGGGCCAGAATTAAAATAGGCTAAACTTTTTTGGGCCTCATATAGGTTTTAATTAAAAATGAATGAATGAATTAATATTAATTCTATACTCCTCCTCCTCTGCCCAGATTTCTCCTCAGGAGAAGGCTGAGTGATGGAGGAGCCTTGAGGGGCAAGTGTTTAACCCTCTTCTTTTTCTGCTGCCCAGCTTTTACAGGAGAAAGCCAGGCAAAGGAGGAACCTTGCAGGATGAGCGTTTGCCCATCCTCTTCCTCCTCCTC